TTGAATAGGGTACATTTTTTTTTTTTTGGTCCTGGGCTTATAGTGCTCTGTTTACTAACTGAATTATTTCATATTCTTGCTTTGGTACCTTCTTTTTTTTTTTAATTGATTTTCAATCAGTTACAGTGTGTCAGTTTCTAGTGTGCAGCACAATGTCCCAGTCATGCATATACATATTTGTTTTCATATTCTTATTCATTAAAGGTTATTGCAAGATACTGAACATAGTTCCCTATGCCATACAGAAGAAACTTGTTTTTTTAAATCTATTTTTATATATAGTGGCTAACATTTGCAAATCTCAAACTCTCAAATTTAGCCCTTCCCACCCTCTTTCCTCCAGGAACCAAAAGATTGTTTACTATGTCTGCAAATCTGTTTGTTTTGTAGATGAGTTCATAGTGTTCTGTTCTGTTCTTTTCTTTCTTTCTTTCTTTCTTTCTTTCTTTCTTTCTTTCTTTCTTTCTCTCTCTCTCTCTCTGTCTCTTTCTTTCTCTCTCTCTTTCTTTCTTTCTTTTTCTTTCTTTCTTTCTTTTTCTTTCTCTCTTTCTCTCCTTCTTCCTCTCTTTCTTTCTTTTTTTCAGATTCCATGTATGAGTGATATCATATGATATTTTTCCTTCTCTTTCTGGCTTACTTCACCTAGAATGACAATCTCTAGGTCCATCCATGTTGTTGCAAATGGCATTATTTTATTCTTTTTTTTATGGCTGAGTAGTATTTAGTACCTTCTTTATCACCTACTTCCCCATACAATTTGTGCCATGGCTTAATTATCTCTTTAAAATTTGACTTCTCACCTTCATTATGCTTTCCTTAGCCTACCCAGGATTATCGCTAACCTTGGTAAACTCACCTCTTCAACCTACACGTAGTTATGAAAGTGGCAAAGATGAAAGTTTGAAAGGGGAAATCAGTGTTTTTTCTTTTCCTAGAGGAAGATTATTTTAAGTCTGCTTCCAGAAAACTTCTCTTTCTAACAGAACCATGGCAATAAAAAAATAATACCCAAGGGATTCTTCATAGGAGGATTTAATTTTTTTAATTAAAAAAATTTCAATAGGACCTATGAAAGATGAAGTTGTCACTGTGGGATGGGTACTGGGCACTAGGCTGTACATGTCAGTGGGTGAGTAACATCTGTACCAAGCCAGAGAGGACGCTGAGAAATAATCCTGTAATGTCATTGGTCTTGGGGAAAATTGGAGTTGTCACAAGTTGCAGCTAAAAATGTTGGGATATGTGGTAATTTCCTTGGTTAAATGAAAGACGTGAATTTACAAAGACAAGGGCAGGTAGCCAAATTCAGCCTCAAGGGGAAAAAAAAAGCTGATCTCCCAAAAAAAGAAGGTTTAGAAAAGTGAACCCAGTGTAAATGCACAGAACGCAATGGAACCACAGTAGAGACCTTCCCTACATTTAAAAACGTACGTCATATTTTCTATTGAGCAAATGGTATGGAATCTGAAAGCTCTAAATGAAGAGCCAAAATCTATGCTATATCCAAACAATTATACAAGGGTCAGCAAGTTAGCATAAAACACTTGACCATGCCTGAGTCTTTCTCTTTAGCAAAAACTATCACATTGTTTTGAGAAGGGATTTGTGATCAGTAAGGACATATCTGTGTTATACATACTGAAATTAATTATATATGTTTAACCATCAGAGTCTTGGCAGGAGACAGAATTCACTTCAGATGGTTAAAATGAAGGTACTTTGAAAGAGAATTATCTAAATCAGTGTGGGTTGTCCTTTAAGAAAATAAACAAAGAATGATGAGATGGCCAGAGACAGGCAGCGGTGGACAGCTGCTACCATTCCCAGAGACAACTACAACACTGCAGGCACAGCCACCTGAAGAAAACCACAGTCAAACAGGGACAAAGCTACTGCCAGAGACGTCATACCACAACAGGGAAGAAATAGCCCAGCTGTTTCTTTCCTGTCCTCTCGTTTCCTGTCAGTATCTCCTCTTGGCTGGTTCCTTCCTGAGGCTGGCGAGTGGATAAGCCAAATGTATACAGGTAGTCCTTAGAATTCAGCATACTGGGGCAGGGACCGTATCAGAGAAGGCAAATAATGGGTCTGAGTAGAAGCCACACCTAGTAAGATGTGCATCTTATTTTACTCCTTAGCAAATTTGTGTGATAGACTGAATTACTGGTCCTGTCTTAGTCTTATAAATCCACGTTCAAGTTCACCTTCCCACCTTTGGACTTCGAGTGTGGCCCTGTGATTTTCTGCGGCCAATGATAGCAGACTTGGTACAAACAGAGGCTTAAACTTGCACAATTTGCCTTACCCTCTTCTACTCTTGCTGTTGCCAAGAAAGTATACTCCAGTAACCTTTTAGCTTGGGTCTCTCTGCCGCCCTCTCAAAAAATGACCCTTGGAGCAGAGTCCCCCAACCAACCCACAGACCTGCAGCCTAAAGCAGAGCTCTTTCCAGTTAAGCTAGAAATGGGAGAATAAACGGTTGCTTTTTCTTTTAACCACTGAGTTTTGCAGTGATTTGTTTCATAGCAGTGCAGTGCAGCTGACCAGTATCACATGCATGGTGCTCATTTCATGTATTGCCCTTTAAAAATTCTGAGTCTTATTTATTTTAATAAATAGCATTGAGCTTTATTTATTTTCATAAACAGCACTTCAGATGAACTGAAAGATAGAACTACCTGAAACTGAGAGAGCCCAGCTGGAACTGTGGGCATTACCTAGTACTATCCTGGTGTCCACGCTTAAGTACTAACTTTAATCCACTGGGTGCTACACTGGGTATTATAAAATCAGTGCCCTGAAAGAATCTGGTCTTGCATGAATTATTGGAGAAACAGTTACTCATTTTTCTACTTGTATTCTTCACTTTAACTTTCTTAATATAATATTTTACACATGTTATAAGAATATTTAATACACAAGTGGGATAGACACATGACAGTATAATGGATTCCTAGGACCCCCTTCCCTCTGCATGTACGAGAACATTTCAGCATTAAGAATCTGTGTGTTCCATTCCTATTTCATTCCCCTGTCCTCCTGACTAGTGAAAATCATACTGAAAAAATTTTGGATACTTGAAAAAAATTTATATGTAAGATTCATCTATAGTGTTTCTTGTTGCTCAGCTTTATTCTTTTTGTTGTTGTTGTATAATATTCATGTGGGTTTGTGTATTGTACTCTATTTGATAGTTTTCTCAGCAGTGGATATTCCTAAATTCTACCTTCCTTGGGCACAATGCTGTATGAATGGGGATAGTCGTGTGGCAAGAAGGAGGTGTAATTAAACTTACTGGTTAGTATCATTCCACCACAATGTGCAAGATTAATTATGGTTACCAATTTCAGGAAATATTCATCATTCTAATAAGAGTTCTTGGACTCATTTGGCATAGATACTGACTACTGTTCTCTCTCAAACTATAATAAACCAAATAAGATTGCTATCAGAAGTAGATTAAAAAATCTCTCTTGAGAGACTAGCTACATTTACCAAAGGAAATGAAATGGCATTTATTTAACACTTGCTAGGTGCACAGGACAGTAAATTTACCCCCACCATAGGTGTGATGAAAGACTCTAAATGGGTACAGAGTATATGTTAATATTTATACAATTGAGGGGCTATTTTCATCTTGTACTCCAAGGGAATGTGACCTTTTCCACAAAGATCCCTAACCTTTGCTGCAGTGCCTAAAAATACAACGGAAAGAAAAAAATGAAGATACTTTACAGAAAGTTCCGGCTCAGTTTAAAAAGAGAGACATCGAGCCATCACAAAACTTAGCCATTTCTATTAATCAGCAAGACTGATAGTTTGAAGAGCAAGTTAGAGGAAGGCAAAACTTTCTGTAGACATCAGCTGATCCAAATTCAGAAACAGAGACTCTGCATGAAATAATGCAGAAAAACTGTCTGCAGTTGGCCATTTATTATTTCAGAACTCTTGTGGTTATCCTAACCACAGTAGTTGGGAGCAAGATAATTTGGGACTCTCTAAAAAGAATCTTATGTAGGTTTACTAGTAAGAAAAATGCAAAGTTCACATAAAAAATTATCAATAGTTTTTTTTCCATCGGATGGTAGCACAATTAACATCATAATCTCTCTGTATATCATTTATCCTGTATAGTCTGTTATTTACATATATATATACATATAAATAAAGTCTAGTCATTCTCAAAAAAAAACGCACTAGTCACCCTTATAAACTCCCAAGTTAAAAAAAGTCTTTAGATATCGCAATATATAGGCATGTGGACAGACTAGATGGACACATCTTGATTATTAGAATTGAAGTCTGGGACTCAGTGTGGTACTAAGTACCCCATCTTGGACAGTGCCTTGTCTGCGCAGCTCAGCTCCCTCTGACGTGCCACAGATGACACTGTCACATCGCTAGTGAAGAGCAGAAGCCACAGAGCTTCAAACCATTTGTTTATTTTTCCTTCTACATCTTTCCGCCTAAATCCCCATCCCAATGAATGACGTCTGCTAAAAATAAAATGTCAAGACCCTTTGCTCCTAAAGTTATATGTCTGTTTGCCTTAGGTAGCTTTAATGATCACCATGCTAATTAAGATAGTTACTTTCAAAGAGAAAGACTGTAATGTAACCCCAACTAGCCATCTCTCAATTTTATACCATTGGTCACAGGATAGATGGAGTGAGAGATTATGAATGGATGAGAGCACACCCACAGCCATTAAAGGAAAACCGACCCAATTACATTTGTATTGCTGTTAGATGATCTGCATCATCTCTGCATGCAGAGTTGTGCATTACATTATGTGATGTTCTTTGCCAAGGATAATTAAAAATCTTAATTATATGAGGGGTTATACCAAGGATGCTGTTAAGTTGCCAGCCATCTGGCAGTGATGAGATGAGCTTAAATTTTAGCTGATGGGATTTAGATGCTCATGATCATTGCTAATATTGAAGGAACATTCCTGAGGTATGGATTGGTGGATGAGAGATGTCTGAAAACATACTTACATGGGATTAGGAACACTGGCACTGGAACAGGTTTCCAAGGGAGACCTGTAAATCTCCTTTCCGGGACACTGTTGATAGATGCCTTCCAGTCTGGCACAGTGAAAATCTGTCCTGCTTCAATCAGAAGTGATGATCTAATGTCTAGAGGTCCCTTCCAATCCTATGACAGAGAACTAAACTCAAGACAAAACAAAGAACAAAGCATCATGTCAAATAATAGTTTCTGTATCCTTCTTAAAGCATCTCTATTACCTGTAGCAACAGATGAATCTGAGTACCAGCTATATGAGTAAAATAAATCATCTCACAATTAATTAGGGTGTATATTGCATGTAGTTATCCTGACAACTATTATCCTTGTCATTTAATCATAATTTAAACTAGATGAAAAAAGAGGAAAAACAGACCTGGCAGTAAAAATCTTGTAACAATTACAGTGTTTTTCTGTGGGGTATTGTGGAATGATGGTGATGATTTTACAGGATAAAATACTATGTGTGGGGAGTTCTTGGCACATGAAAAAGTAAGCACATAAGACTTCTCTAATAAATCTTTCCTCCTCTGTACTTGATTTAAGACAAGGGTCTGGTTCTGCTCTATTTTGGCATCACATTTCACGCGCCATAGAAACTTTTAACAGCAAGCCCTTTCAAAGCAGCACTCATACCCCATGGCTTCTACCTCAACTCAGATCTTTCATCGCTTCCTTTCCTTTTGACTACTTTGGTTCAAGGGTTATTTTACCACCTTGAAAGCACATTATATCATCCGGAAAACAGGTACCATGCTGATTCCACTTCTGCTGAAATATGCTGTATTGCAGTTACTCTGTAGCTCTTCAACAAGACATGATGCTGTGAAGTCACCTTTCCTCTCGCTGTTTCAAACAAACCTTTGCAGCTACAGATCAAGACTTTTAAAGTTCACTTCCTAATTTGCAGCAGCTCATTGAATGTTTTCCAGGCTTCAGACGTGCTGTTGTGAAGGAAAAGTGAAGCTTTTAATGTCTGAAAAGCAGCAGGGATTCACTTCTTTAATGGAGAAAATTCAAATTTGCGGTCCCAAGCTGGCAACGTGGGGTGTCACGTTTCCTACAATCTGTTGGGAGGCCCGCAGGGGTAACAACCTGGCCACAAGTCGAAATGAGCACACCTACTCCTCCTGTATGCTGCAGAGTTAAGAGTTCGTCGCCCCCCATTCCATTTTCTTGCTGCAGATAATTTTCAGAAACTAACTTAGAAGGTGCACTGCAGCTCAGTGTTTCTGCTTTGCTTTTCTTCTCGTTGGGAACCTCCTGATATTCCTGACCATTCACAGGTGAACCAAGTATCATTCCCATGCATTTAATAAGACTGTATCACATTTAAAAAGACAGACCAGAAATTAAATCGAAGCTTTCAAAAGCCTGCTACAGATACAGTTTCTTCTAACTCATCCCGTCTCATCTTTCACGTCTCATCTGAGCCAACAGGGGATAATAAAGCAGCAGTAGCACAAACAGGATATTTAGAATCAGAAAACCAAGAACAGAAATAACTTGTCCAGCTGCTTTCTGTGTGATCCTGTCTAAGCTTCCTAACTTTTCAAAGCTTCTATGCTCTTCCCTGTAAAATAAGACACAAATTTGGGTAGTGTAAGGAATAGATGAAATTATGTCATCTATTTAATGAGCCACTCAGCAAACATTTATCATGGACCATTTCTCTCTATGGACCAGATTATTGTGTATAACACTAAATAAGACAAAATACTGATCCAAAGTAAAAAGCATTATATTAATCATAAGGCATTATACTTTTTTCAGATGTTGCTGTTACAACCTGAGGTGGGAGTTCAGAACTAGCTAAGTAGTCAAGAAGCAGTATTGATAGTCTTACCATTTGTAATCATAGACAATAAACAAGTGCTGATGTAGGAACTATAATAGTATGAAACTTAGAGAAAATTGTACCTTTCTTATACTATGAGATTCTGCAAAAACTCTGATGCAAAAAATAATAATAAGCCCCACAAACAACATTATTTGTTTCTTGTTTCAATCCTGGAAGATACAAAGAAACAGTTGGTATGAGTCAAATTATTGTTTATAAGGGCAGGTAATGGTTACAGAATTGCATTGTTGCCTTATCTCTAATGCTGTATAAAATGCCCTAGATTTATCAAGTAAGTGGAAAGAAATCTATCTTCAATCTTCAATTGTATCAAAGGAAACTAATGTAATTCCATCTTTTTTTCCTTCACAGTGAGGGTGTATAGCTCATAAAAATTAAGACAAAATTATTAAACAGATGTTCGGCCTCTGCTAAGATTTGTAGGGAGATACTAGAATAAGTGAAAGCACAAATATTGTCAAAAAATACCTTCACTTACAAAATTAATTTTATTCCTGGTTTGTGGGTTTTATTATTTATATTCTGAAAACTGATGAAATAAGCAGGACATGTAAGACTCCCTAGAAAGAAATGAAAAATATTTCAGTCAATGAATTAACTGTAATTTTTGGTGTTTTTGCTACTGCGCCTTCCTAATTAGTCTCATTATTTATATTTGTCAATGGTTTGTACATATTTGAATCATATTAAGTATCAGAATTCAGTTATTTAAACCTTGCCAGAAGTTAATGAATAATGCAATCAAACAGAAGGACCATTCTTGAATAAACTGGTTTATATGTCACCGAGGTTTCTTACCCATATCAACTTTTCTATGCTAAGTCAACCTCCATATTAGGGAAAACAACCTTTTCTTCTTGTTAGCTATTATTGACGTGGGTGGTGGTGCAATTTTTTATTTGAAGCCTATCAAAGAGAGCAGTAGAAAAAGCAAATTTAGTGTTCCATAATCACCGGATGCATTTCAGCATCTAACAGAAGTCACTTTGGAACCATCAGCTGTTTTGGAGAGATTGCAGGGTTGTTTCCCTGTTTGATTTTCCTCTATGATTTTAGAAAAAGTCCAAAGTGGTGGTGATATATGTCAAAGTAATTTCCATGGTGCCTGACAGCTAGTGAACATTTAGAAACTTACTTTAATGTGACCAAGTGAAATACAGTTAAGATGTTATGAAAAATAATGTTGATGGTGATGATGGTTTGAACGCCAAAACTGAATTGATAATCGGATATCCAGGCCAAATTAAAAATAAATTGAAGTACAGACTTTCACTTACAAATAACTTAAATAATTGGTTTTTTTAATATAGATAATCAATTGTGGATAAATCTTGAGAAGCAAATCCTCATATACAGCAGCATAATGTGAAGGGTAAAGAGCATGGACACAGGGACCAAACTCCCAGGGTTCCATCCCTGGTTCTGCCACTTAGATTCCATAATTCTCGGCAAGTGACAGAGACTTCTCATGCCTCAGTTTCTTCATATGTAAAAGGAGGACAATGATAACACTTCCCACATGGAGTTGATTTGAGAATTAAATGACTTGATATCTGTAAAGTACTTAAACCAAAGATATGCTTGTTCAGTAAGTAAATTCACATTTAGCACAAATAGTTGGATAAAACTAGTGCCGAGATTATGAGTCCTGGTGTAAAGCAGGCTTTTCAACTGGACATACTCATTTTTCATTGGCTTTCATGACTTCTCTCAATTTCTTCCTTCTCCAAGTTTGGAGGTAAACCTTACAGATTAGTAATAGAGGGATTTAAAGGATAAATAATTACTACATAGCTAAATATTTCTTGCTTGATAATTATTCCAACATTGGTTTCTAGGAAGAGTAATTAATAAACTTATGCTTCTTTCTCTATCATAAAATATGTAATCAGCAGCTGATATACTGCATTTTTTAATCAAGTAAGAACACTAAACTGTTATTCACTTAATTTTTTTAAAATGAAAGAATCATTAAAACTGTATTGTCTTTAACAAAATTCCCCCTTCTACACATGAGCGTTTATCAAATAGATATGTCCTCTTATACTTGGGGTAGTAAGGGGAACTGTGCAATCAGTCAGGCAGAATGGTCTCTATGTTGATGAGTTGATGCTCACAAACATGACTGTTTTTCCAATATTCTTTTTTTATTGAAGTACAGACAGTTACAGTGTGTCAGTTTCTGGTGTACAGCACAATGTCCTAGTCATGCATATACATACATATATTTGTTTTCATATTCTTTTTCATTATTGAAATATTGAATATAGTTCCCTGTGCTATACAGCAGAAACTTTTTAAAATCTATTTTTATATATAGTGGCTAACATTTGCAAATCTCAAACTCCCAAATTTATCCCTTTCCCTGGTAACTATAAGATTGTTAACTATGTTTGCGAATCCGTTTCTGTTTTGAAGAGACGTTCATGGTGTCTTCTTTTTTTCTTGGATTCCACATATGAGTGATATCATATGGTATTTTTCTTTCTCTTTCTGGCTTACTTCACTTAGAATGATAATCTCTAGGTCCATCGATTTTGCTGCAAATGACATTATTTTATCCTTTTTTATGGCTAAGTAGTAATCCATTGTATAAACTTCTTTATCCAGTCATCTGTTGATGGACATTTAGGTTGCTTCCATATCTTGGCTGTTGTATATATGCTGCTATGAACATTGGGGTGCATGTATCTTTTTGAATTAGAGCTCCCTCCAGATATAAACCTAGGAGTGGGATTGCTGGATCATACTTTAAGTGTTTTGAGGAATCTCCATACTGTTTTCCATAATGGCTGCACCAAACTACATTCCCACCAGCAGTGTAGCAGGGTTCCCTTTTCTCCACACCTTCTCCAGCATAGTCTTATTTCCTTCAGTGCTATTATCACTCCCTTTTTGAAGTCATGATCCAGTAGACTATTGAGGTCTATTAAATTAATCATTCTTTCAGGGGACTTCTCTTGTTCTTTTAATTAGAAGTAGTTCCTCTGCTTCTTCATTATACTTGTATCTCTCTGGCACCATGGATTATGGAGTATCAGTTATCTACTGTGGTCTTGAAGGGTTTTTTTGGTTTTTTGTTTCAAGAGGATGCATTCCTGTGTAGACTGAGCACCTCTAATAATTTTGTCACGAGGTCTGTTTTTAGTATGGATGGTTGCCACATCCTTCTTCCGTGAGTGTAGGCTGTTATTCCTTTGATTAGGGGTGTGGCCAGTGTTGTAGTGACCAGAGCCTGCCCTGGTTGTTGAGCCACCTTTTTGTTCTGTGGTTGTCACAGC